TAAATGTGACAGGCACGAGACCTGCGAGAGTTGTTACCACTGGATTGAGAAAATGCATCATTACTGACAAAAAGTATTCGACAGAAACTTACCGACAGAAAGTTACTAGGAAGAGCGGCAAATTCAAATGGTCAAATTAAATTCGAATGAATATATACATAATTTAATGTAGTTTTTTTATTTTAAATCAAGTATAGTATTTTAAATAATTAAATACCGATATTAAATAATTAATGTTTATTATAAAAATTGACATATAGACATGAAAATTTTTTCATTTTTAGCATTTAAATCTGTGAAATAATGAAATATTGTAATTTTATTTTTTAATTACAAAAAATTATTATTTTTTATTAATTATTAATAATTTAATTTTTTCATAAAAATAAAAATGTACTGCAAAGAATATGTTTTATGCATTGAAAAATAAAAATTTGTTAAAATATATTATTTCTATATTTTGTAAATAAAGTTATTTATTAAAATAATTTTTTTATTTATAAAATTGAAATAGATTAAAAAATTAATGTTTTAAATTAAAAATTTTTTATTTGAATTAATATATGTAATTAACTATTATGAAAATTAATTAGTCGTTAAATTTTTTTTTTTTTTAATAATAACTAATCTTTTTTTACCTATAAACAAATTTAATTTTATTTTGAACAAAATTATATTTTTAATGATAAAAACTTTGTTATTTTACATAGAGACGAATAATATTATACTTTTTTTATTTGTGAGTGAGAAGTGACCAAAACCAAATAATTGTAAATCATCGTAAAAATATTTTAAAAGGGATAGAAACAAAACAATACATTTTAAAATTATACAACACAAGAATACTCGCAAATGCGATTGTAAAACGAAAAGTACGAAAGTAATATAATTTTAGGTTTATTACGTCCTGCAGCCGTTAGGTGGCAGAAGCATGCAGGGAGCACAATGTCGCAGCTGTCATTATATTACTTTCGTACTTTTCGTTTTACAATCGCATTTTTGTATAGATTTGCACAATCTTTCGGATTTAAGAAATTTATAAGATAAGGATCCTTGGTATTTTTTCCGATTTTGAAAAAAGTGTCCGCGTTTTGAGAAAAAAGTATTTTAAACTCAATGTTTATCATTTTCATGTTCAGTGCCGTTTTTATAGGGCGATTATTGAATGCCAAAGAATTTCAGAGACCGTTCGACACTCTTAAACGATATTTTTTTATTTGTGAATTTCTTTTATATTTAAACGCATTCTTTTATCCTACAATAATTTTTAATGCTTATAATTTGTTTCATACGCGTATATGCGATTTGCGAGTATTCTTGTGTTGTATAATTTTAAAATGTATTGTTTTGTTTCTATCCCTTTTAAAATATTTTTACGATGATTTACAATTATTTGGTTTTGGTCACTTCTCACTCACAAATAAAAAAAGTATAATATTATTCGTCTCTATGTAAAATAACAAAGTTTTTATCATTAAAAATATAATTTTGTTCAAAATAAAATTAAATTTGTTTATAGGTAAAAAAAGATTAGTTATTATTAAAAAAAAAAAAAATTTAACGACTAATTAATTTTCATAATAGTTAATTACATATATTAATTCAAATAAAAAATTTTTAATTTAAAACATTAATTTTTTAATCTATTTCAATTTTATAAATAAAAAAATTATTTTAATAAATAACTTTATTTACAAAATATAGAAATAATATATTTTAACAAATTTTTATTTTTCAATGCATAAAACATATTCTTTGCAGTACATTTTTATTTTTATGAAAAAAATTTAATTATTAATAATTAATAAAAAATAAAAATTTTTTGTAATTAAAAAATAAAATTACAATATTTCATTATTTCACAGATTTAAATGCTAAAAATGAAAAAATTTTCATGTCTATATGTCAATTTTTATAATAAACATTAATTATTTAATATCGGTATTTAATTATTTAAAATACTATACTTGATTTAAAATAAAAAAACTACATTAAATTATGTATATATTCATTCGAATTTAATTTGACCATTTGAATTTGCCGCTCTTCCTAGTAACTTTCTGTCGGTAAGTTTCTGTCGAATACTTTTTGTCAGTAATGATGCATTTCCTCAATCCAGTGGTAACAACTCTCGCAGGTCTCGTGCCTGTCACATTTACCTTTTTAACTTTTAGATAAAATTTCGTCGCTCCTCCTCGTAATCGGCATTATTACACTTCAAAACAATCGGCTTTTTCATTGACAATGTCAAATCGCGTTAATACACATCAATTCAAACAATCCAGGTGAACCGTATTCACGGTAAGAAAAAAGTATACACCGTAACGTCTCTATACCGTCATTACATGCCGAACGGTATAGCCACTAAGCTATGAGTCTATACTTTTTCCTTACTGTCTATACTTTTTTTTTTACTGGGTAAATAGCAGTGCAGGGTACGGCACGTATAAAAGCATTCTTTCTTATAGAACTTCATGACTAATTTTTGATTGGCTGGCACTGAAAATTCGCTCAATTTCCATCAGTATAGCCAATCAAAATCTTGTACTTGGATTTTGCACCTATTATGGAACTGCTTTTAGATTCCTACAGTAATTTACGTGTATCAAACCTAACCTTAAATTTATGATTTTCGAATTGATATATACAATATACACTTGTTTAAAATAATTAAATTATAAATTTAATAATTTAAGTAATAAATTTATAAGAATTATGAAAACAGTTTTTGACGTAAATTACTTAAATTACGTAATTTACATCGGAACCTACCCGTGACGAGTCACAACCAGGGTTGCGTATGTAATATACCTCAGGTAAATAACATAGAGTTTTTTACGTATATTACATATGTAAATTACCTGAAATTTTTCAAAAACAATGCATTTTTCTATGGTGGAGAGTATTATACGTATTTTACAAATGTAAAAAACCCATGTAATTTACGTAAAAAACTCTGAGTTACGCGTAACTATGCAACCCTGGTCACAACCCATCTCTTACCGCACCATGCTCTAGTGAAAATTTAGTGATTTTATTGTTAAAAATAAAAGTTACTATAACGTCACTAAATTTTTTACGGTAGCTGACGAGAATGGACAGTGGAAACCAACCCTTGAATGGGAACACAATAATGAGTGAGTGAAGAATAAAGATATTTACTATCCTTCTCTTACTCATTCTTGGTTGGTTTCCATTGTCCCCACTCGACATTTGTCATAATTCTTGTAAACTACTGCACCCTGCTGTAGTAAAAATTTAGTAATTTTTATAGTAACTTTTAATTTTAATAAGAAAGTCACTAAAATTTTATTAGAGCAGGGTGCAGTAGTTGACGAGAATTATAACAAATAGCGAGTGAGAATAGTGGAAACCAACCTCTTACGTCTCCGTTTACGATTGCGTTACCGTTCAAGAATATATTCTGCTTAGGCCTTAGAGCGCTCGCACAAGAAAAGACGGAGAAGTGTGCAGGATATGATTCAAATGAGTTAGAAAAGGACAGAAATATCGCTCATCCTTCTTTTTCTACCTCATTTGAAACACATCCTGCACACTGCTCCGTCTTTTCTTGTGCGAGCAGCCTTAAGGCCAGGTCCAAGTGAGGCAGCGCCATCTACATTGATACTGAAATTTTGGAAAATTTTCAACAGCCTTTTCTTGAAAACAAGATGGTAAAATGGTTTTTTCTTTATGGATAATTGATTATTGGCAAGATATACATCAGCTAAAACTTTTTTTGAGTTAAAATAATAAAAAAAATTTCATGTCAATAAATTAAATATGAGCACTTTTTTCACAAAAACTGTAACAGTACTTTCTCAGAAATTACAATCAAAAATGCAATTTCCATTTGGAAAATTAATAAACGCTAAAAAATACACGACCTAAGATTTACCAAACACGAAAATAAAAAAAAAAATTTTATTAAATATTTAACATATTGATACTGCTTTACTGATTGTGACAGCCCTTTGGTAGATTATGTATTTCAGGTGGTTAGCAACAGCGCCAATCTCCTCCTTTCGGCAAAACTGCGAAACGTCTGGTGACATATATAACCTGCCAAACGGCTGTCATAATGAGTAAAATATGTTATGTTAAAATACTTTTTTTTTGTTATTTTCGTGATTGGTAAATCTTAGGTCGTGTATTTTTTAGCGTTTATTAATTTTCCAAATGGAAATTGCATTTTTGATTGTAATTTCTGATTGTAATTTCTGAGAAAGTACTGTTACAGTTTTTGTGAAAAAAGTGCTCATATTTAATTTATTGAAATGAAATTTTTTTTATTATTTTAACTCAAAAAAAGTTTTAGCTGATGTATATCTTGCCAATAATCAATCATCCATAAAGGAAAAAGCATTTTACCATCTTGTTTTCAAGAAAAGGCTGTTGAAAATTTTCCAACATTTCAGTATCAATGTAGATGGCGCTGCCTCACTTGGACCTGGCCTTAAAGGCCTAAGCAGAATAGAAACGTAACTGGAATCGTAATCGCAAACGCAATCGGAAGAATTAGTTAGACAAGGACAAACAATATGTCTATCCTTCTCTAACTCATTCTTCCGGTTGGGTTTGCGATTACGATTGGGGTTACGTTTCTATTCTGCTCAGGCCTTAAGAAAAAATTACAAAACGTCAAGATGTCTGATAAGATATGCATGAGATAGAAAAGGATACAAATATATCTCTGTCCTTTTTTAACTCATGTTTCACGTTTGCGAACGACTTTTGCGAAGCTATTCTACTTTAGCCTTTATAATTAGGTTATTTTTCCCATGATTTCAGATCTTAATACTATATGGACCAACGCACAAATGTTTCGGCGAAAGTCGTAACACATAAAAATGAGAGAGAAATAGACAGATATATCTTCTGTTCTTTTCTATCTTGTATTAAAGTTTACTTTTTTCCACTTACAATTACAATTTGCGTAATCACAATATAAATATATTCTAAAAAAAAAATTCCGTGTCTATAGTATAATTTACCTTATAATTTTCTTTTGTTAACCCGCTTCTCACAATATTTTATTTATTTTGAATTTTTGAATACACTATCCATATCATCCAATACTTAACATAGAAGTTCGCAAGCTTTCCGTATAAAGGCGCCACTACTGCTCAATTGATTAACGGTAACGATTCTTTGGATTTCTTTTTTCATGTCTGTCTGTCCTCTTTCTTGTGGGGAAAAACAGACTTGTTTGCCGTGTAGAAATTTTGCACCACCCGATAAATAAGAAGAAAAATGTCTGAAAATTCCATTTTGCCGAATAACGATTGTAAGTGTCATTTTATAAACTATGTGTAAAATTCACTAAAAAATAAAAAAAAAATTTCAAAATGACAGAAGGAAAAAAAAATGCGATGCCTGTCGCTTGACTGCAAATTACTAATGGCGGTTTTTTGTTTTTTTTTTCTCGCAACAAAAAAAAAAAAGAATAAAAAAAATCCGAGAACCGAAAAATTCTTTTGTAGTTTGTTTATTTTTGTGTAAAAGACAAAAAAGAAAGTCGACTCATTGTATGTGTTTGTGGTAGAAAATTTGACAAATTTCTCATCTAAAAGTTTTGCGTTTTTTTTTTTTTTTTTGACATTTAAAAGAAAATATAATTTAAACTAAAAATAAATCTTTTTCTCGTGTTTTTTGACAAATCATTGAAAAATTAATTTGATGTCTTTCCATTATGACAAGTTTTCAAACTTTCTTGATTTAAACAATTCACAATTAGGTCCGGATAATTTATTTTCCGTAATTATTTTAAATCAAGTTACTCAAAATCTTTTATATTTTCTATCGTTTTTTTTTTCAATAGAATTATTTATTTTCTTTCTAATTATATAATTGTGAGTATATAAGTATTAGTTAAGAAACTGAATTTTGAGGTTATGTTTTACGATTTTTTTTTATTTAATTAATATTTATTGACAATTATAATTTATCATTTATTTTTTTCTATTTTTGAAATAAATTATTCAATTTAAAATAACAAGAATAGAATATTTAGAAAAAAAAAGTAAAATAAATATTAAAATTTTTAAATAAAACTAGTAATAATGTGTAAAAATAAAATGTAAAAGAAAATGTAGGGAAAAAAGGGATTAAAATTCGACAATCATTGAAACATAAAAGTGGAATATTTAAAAAAAAAAAAGAAAAAAAATATTTCAATAAAAATTTTTTTCTACCAAAAACTTTTTGACACATTTGCAAAGAGTAATTACAGATTAAAACTCGTGGCTTTTAAAATATAAATTATCTTCTTTTTGAATATTTTACATTGTCATATGTATATATCTCTAGTGAAATGAAATTGATGGATTTAAATTATTAAAATCACTTAGTAAAATTTGTTACCAATTTTAGATCACAAAATTATTGAAGGTATGAAATATTTCTATATAGATTAAATTTAAGCTGATTCAATTGAAAGCGCGCCCACGTGTGTGTATATGTGTGTTCAAAAAAATATAGATATACATATATAAATCTCAATAAAACATTTATGTTCATTAAATATGTAAAATTTACCAACATCAATTTTAAAGAATTTTATTATATTCGAAAAATTTTTAAACAAAAATCATTCAAATTATTTATTATAAAATTTTTAAAAATGAAAAAATTAATAAAGAAATTCGATATTTTTATAAATAATGAAAAAATAATTAATTAATTAATTAATTATGAAAAAAATTAAGAAAACTTATTTTCAAACAAATAATAATAATAACAATAATAAATAAAAATAAGAACAAAAAAAATTTCTCAAAATAATGTTTAGGGGAAAACCAAAATGACGATGACCAGATGCAAAATTGCGATTCGATTCATGATGATATAATCAGGTATACCTTAGAATTTCTTATGAGTATTTTAAAAATAAAACTTTATTTTATTAATTAAAAATTAATATTAACAAAATTATTGTTGATAAAAAAGTATTTTTATATTCTCACCATTAAAAACGTTCACATATGATATAGGCTTCACAGTGTTTTCCTATTGTCCTAATTTTCCTCTATTTTAAAAAATTTCCCTTTTACCCCCTTTTTTTATGAATATTTTCCTATTTTCCCTTATTTTTCAATCATTTTTCCTAATTATATCTTGAAACTCGAATAATGGGATATTTCACAAAAATCCAAATTTAAACCAAAAAAAATTGCACGACTTTTTCGACTATTATCGACTTTTTTCAATGAATGCGATTATTTCGAATTATTTTTATAAAATGTGACTTTTTCGACTTTTTTTGAACAAAATATTTTTTTCATCAAAAATTTCTGAAAATTTTATTATTTAAAAAACACTTTTTCAATACAAAATTTTTCTTAAATTCAATTATTGTATAAATCTTTAAAAAAAAATATTCAACAATTTAAATTTATGAAAATTTTAATTAAAAATCTCCTGAAATTCAATTCGTTTTCAAACAATTGTAACTACAACAATTTTAAAATTTAATAATTTTTCAAATTTTTTAAATTAAATTCTTTTTGGAATTAATTATTTCTGATAACTTTAATTAGTCTTCAAAAATTCGATTTATAAACATATTTCTCAATTAATTTTTTTTTTAAATTCAATTATCTTCTGAACTTTCTAAAAAATCTTCTTCAATTGAAATTTACAAAAATTCTTTTTGTATATCTCCTGAAATTTTAATTATTTCTGAAAAACTTAAATATATATCTCATCAAAAATTTATATCCAAAATTCTTCGCTATATTATTTCAATAATTTTAATTCAATTTTTCAAAAATTCAAATTTTTTTATTAAAAATTCTTTAAAAAATTCAATTATTGTTAAAAATTTTGTCAATAATTTTCAGCAAATTCAAATTTACAACAATTTCAATTAAAAAATAAATTTTTTTCAATAATATTTTTATCAATTTCTTTGAAAATTTAATTATTTAAAACATTTGCCAAAATTTTGAATTCGAATAATTTGTACAATGACTTGGAATTTTTTTCTTCTTTTAAAGTAACTTTAAATTCTTCATTGATGTTTTGTCCCAGTTTATAATAATAAGAATAATAATTTCAATAAATTTTGGCAATTATTAGAACTGGAAATAAATTTTCTTTAAATTATTTTTTTTCCAAATTTGTCCTATTGAATTGAAATCTTAAAAAAAAATTTATAGTTTAATTCTGAAATTAAAAAAAAAAAAGTTGATGGAAATATTCCTGTGAAACATTTTCATTATAAAATAACAAAAAATTTATTTAATTTCTAATAATTAATGTTAATATTTAATAATAATGAAATATTTATTAACTAATAAAATTTATTGAAAATAAAAAATATCGACTTCATCTATTTTTCTTGTAATGAAAATTGACTAAAACGTCTTTTTTCTCTTTCTAAAGTCAATCCGATCTAAAACTTTCTAAAAAAATTATTGTAATTATAATTCTTCTGAAATTCAATACTTTTAATGATATTTATAATATTCTTCTGTAAAATTTAATTATTGTCGATAATTTAACAAATAAATTAACTTTTCAAAAATTCAATTATTTTTAATAATTTTAATATTTATTTAAAAATTCAATTATTTAAAAAAGTTTCAAACATAAACTCTAAAATTGAAATATCGCAGAAATAAAAAAAAACTACAGCAGTTTAAATTTGCAGAAAATTTATTTTAAATTTAAAATCTTCTGCAATGCAATTATTTGAAAAAAATTAATTTAAAAATCTATAAAACTTAATTATTGTTCGACAATTTTTTGATCATTAAAACTATGCAAAAATTTTAAATAATTGGAATAAATTGCTTAAATTAGACCTCAAAAAATTTTTAAAATGGATCTTTAAGAATTTTTTTTACAAATTTGTCCTACTTAATTAAAATTTTGAAAATTTATTCCAAAAATAAATTTTCTTAATTATATTTTTATAGAATTATTCTCATTACAGAATTAATAAAAATGAATGTAATATTCCAATAACCTTTGTTATTTAAATTAAAGTATTTATTAACCAATTAAATTTAATTAAAATAGAAATAATCGACTTTTTTTGTGACTTAAAGTCAATCCGAGGTCTGAGCAAATTTAAATTTACGAAAATTTTGATTAAAAATCTCCTGAAATTCAATTGTTTTCGACAATTGCAACTATTTTAAAATTTAATAATTTTTCAACTTTTTAACTTAAATTCTTTGTTGAATTAATTATTTCCGATAACTTTAATCAAAGTCTTCAAAGTTTCCATTAATTAACACATTTCTCAATTAAAATTTATTTTCAATTTAATTATTTTCTAAACTTTGTAAAAAAACTTCCTCAATTCAAATTTACTATAAATTCATTTTGTATATCTCCTGAAATTTTAATTATTTCTGAAAAACATAATTATATCTCTTCCAAATTCGATTACTTCCAAATTTTTAAATAAAATTCTTCGCTAAATTAATTATTTCAATCATTTTAATTCAATTTTTCAAAAATTCAAAATTTTTTCATTAAAAATTCTTTCAAATTCTTTTTTTTTCTTTTTAGTAATTTTATAATTTTTTTGATACAACTAATTCGATAAAAAAGAATAAATTAGCTTCAAACATTAATAATCATAAATTTTTAATTTTAACCTAAAAAGTCACATTTTATTATGCAAAAAAATACCTTTTTGCAAGTCCTGCTGTTGTGATAATTTTTTCCTTAATGAATAATAGTGTAACCTTAAATTTTTAATTCATAATATAAAAATTTAAATAACTCATGAATTTTTAAGTAAAAACACGCAATTTTTTGTTTTTATTTTTCACAATTTTTTTAACTAACTTAAAATAAATTAAACCCTGTAAAACTAATTAAATTTTGAAAAAAAACATCATAAGCTACCTCAGATTAAATTTTTGTCCAAAAATATTAAATACCGGCTGTACAATACACGTTTGAATACGTCGGGTCCAGCAGACCCGTTATGCCATTTACGTTCGAACTCGAAATTGTGCCAGTTAAGGGTTAAAAAAAATTAATTACTATACTGGGAAAAATCTCTCCATTAAATCTCACTTTTTTCTATAAATTTATCATCTTTTAAAAAATTTGTAAAAAAAAAATTTTGTTTCTATATTTTCTTTGTTTTAAGATGTTTTTTATTCATCAAGAAAATTTATGGTCTGAAAATTTTCAGCGGTAGTGTAATTTTAAATAACTTTAAAGCACTTTGGTTAAGGAAAATATACATTTAGATTTTACCCTATTTTTCCCCTTTTTTCAAATAAAATCTCCCCTCTTCTCCCCCCTTTTTTTTGTCAAATTTTATACTGTGAAGCCTGCTATTATTTTACGCAATTTTTTCAGATTTTGAAATCCCCCTTCCTTTTTGTCACGCAATTATTACAATTTTATATGCGACCAACGCATTGTGTCACATTTAAGGTAGTATTACACTTTAGAAGCAGTAAAAAAAAGGGTTCAAACAAACATTTTTTTCTCGTTAATTACTTTATTTAAAGAAAAGAAACCTTTTGTACAATATTAAGGACGAATAGTTCTTCAAGAAAAAATAAAAAAAAAATTTTTTATAATAACATAATGTCATACTTAATAATTCGTTAATTATAAAATAAAATATTTAATAAAATCAAATTTTTCAAATGTTCCCGCGCTGCGCTGATGGCTCAGCTCTGGACTTTAGTTCGCTCAACGCCACAGGGAGGGCGAACATCATAACTGTTTCTCGCAGTTGAGATGCCATTAGATTGGTATATAAGCAGTGATCGAAAATTTTTTTCTTGTCATAATTTTTTTCTACCCGATGTCTCTCCTATTTATTGGATTTGAGACAAATTCTTTTTTGGAAGAAATGGTTTCACTAATACTTTGATGAACATTTTTTTATTTTAATTCAATTATTAAAAATAAAATAATAATAATAATATTAATAACTATTAAAAAATAATAAAAATAAATTTTTTTTTAAATTATTATTAAAATTTTTAATATTGGCTAATTATTGGTTGCCAATCATTGGCATCGGCGTGGACAGCCCATGACTTTACCAATAATGGTCCATTATTGGGTGCCAATGGTTTTTTCATTGGCTCCCATCATTGGGCCAATTAATACACCAATGGTTACTCGTGGCAGTTTCCCATTGGGAAGTTTTAACTCCAAAATGTACAAATTTTTATCAAAGTTTGACGCTGTATTTTCGCAATTAAACTCTATAAAAATAAATTTGCAATAGCCATTTCTTATGTGCCAAGAACCGCTCTTTCGAATGGTGCATAAGAAAATTTTGTAAATTTTTAATGAAAAAAATTATATTTGTTTCTTTAAATAAAAAACGCAAAACTGGCGCTGTGTGCGTGAATACACTGCACTGCATATTATTCTGTAACTTTTTTTATTTCGTCGAATTTTGATTAAATATTTTGGGATTATATTTCCAAGATGATTTGGAACAGCAAAATGCAAAAAAAAAATTTGATTTTTTTTGACAGTGTAAAGTATAATATTACCTTAAGTAAAGACTCCCCCCCTATCCTCCGAACGTGATACCATAAGTGAACGTTACCGTATGAAAAAGTATTATACTATTTATATTTTTAATAAATGGATATTTTTGTAAAAGGAAATAGTTTTTTTTTGTGAAAATTTTTTCAGAACTAAATCGAAGGATAAAAAAATTTTAAAAACAAGATTTTAAGGCCAGGTCCAAGTGAGGCAGCGCCATCTACATTGAAAATAAAATTTTGGAAAATTTTCAACAGCCTTTTCTTGAAAACAAGATGGTAAAATGCTTTTTCCTTTATGGATAATTGATTATTGGGAAGATATAGACCAGCTAAAACTTTTTTTGAGTTAAAATAATAAAAAAAATTTCATGTCAATAAATTAAATATGAGCACTTTTTTCACAAAAACTGTAACAGTACTTTCTCAGAAATTACAATCAAAAATGCAATTTCCATTTGGAAAATTAATAAACGCTAAAAAATACACGACCTAAGATTTACCAATCACGAAAATAAGAAAAAAAAATTTTATTAAATATTTAACATATTGATACTGCTTTACTGATTGTGACAGCCCTTTGGTAGATTATGTATTTCAGGTGGTTAGCAACAGCGCCAATCTCCTCCTTTCGGCAAAATTGCGAAACGTCTGGTGACATATATAACCTGCCAAACGGCTGTCATAATGAGTAAAATATGTTATGTTAAAATACTTTTTTTTTTCTTATTTTCGTGATTGGTAAATCTTAGGTCGTGTATTTTTTAGCGTTTATTAATTTTCCAAATGGAAATTGCATTTTTGATTGTAATTTCTGAGAAAGTACTGTTACAGTTTTTGGGAGAAAAAGTGCTCATATTTAATTTATTGACATGAAATTTTTTTTATTATTTTAACTGAAAAAAAGTTTTAGCTGGTCTATATCTTCCTAATAATCAATTATCCATAAAGGAAAAAGCATTTTACCATCTTGTTTTCAAGAAAAGGCTGTTGAAAATTTTCCAAAATTTTAGTATCAATGTAGATGGCGCTGCCTCACTTAGACCTGGCCTAATCTCTAAATTGAAAAAAAAATTTATTAAATTATGAGCATTTAGAAAAGAAAATCTTTATAATTATGAAATTTTGAAAAAATTTTATCTCGTAAACTATATTAATTCGTTTTACAAAATTTACGTACAAAAAAAAATTAATTCGAATTGGAATATATAGAAATTTTTTCTTATTTACAGTATTCCAGGATCGAGCCATCAACAGTATATTGAAGTAATTATCAAATCTAACCTTAAGAAAATATTAAATATCAAAAAAACTGTAAAGAAGAAAAATTTTATTTACAAATATAAATATTTATTTATAAATATTTGTACTTTTTCTTATGACAAAAGTTATTCATGTCCGTTTTGAATTTTAAGGGTGATTTCGATTTGGATGCGGTGATTGAATCAGAAATTATAAGCTTGGATAGTTCTGCTGCTAAACTTTTTGGTAAAGATGTCAAATACAAGGTATTAAATATTACATTTATTGATTGAAAAATTTTGTCTGTTTTTAAAATATGTTTAAAAAAATACGTGGAATAAAAAATTAAACTGCTTAACCAATTTTTATTTTTGAATTAAAGCGCGCTTGATTATTTTAAAAAGGAAAAATTTAAAAAAAAGTGTTTATGTTTCAAGAATAATATAAAAATAATTTAAAAAAATAAAAATTATTCCTTAATAATAATTTTTTAGGGGTGCATGAATTTTGTAATTTGTTTAAAAGATATCACCGTTTTTGGGATTTTTTTTGGGGTCATTCCGTACAACTTAATTTTTTTTTTTTACTAAATTGTAATTTAATTGACATAAAAGTTTGTCATTCATAGCTAAGAACTTGATCACAAAGTTTGAAAACGATCCTGTTATTTGTTTAAAAGTTATGGACGTTTTTTGGATTTTTTTTGTGGTCATTCCGTACAAGTATATAAAATTTTTTTACTAAATTTGATTTTTTCTTTTATTAGAGTGTGTCATTTATAGCAAACGACATGAATTATGGGAAATTCATGCGCCCTATTTTTTAGATGATTTTTAGTCTGCTTTTAAGTTTAAAGCTTTTTTTTAAGAAAACAAAGTTTGACCAAAAATTATAAAAAAAAATTTTTTTAAACCATAGCGAATTCTGAAAAATTAAAAGTTGTAAGTACTAGAAATTTAGAAAATTAAAATAATATTTTTAGAAATTTCTAAAATTTATTTACTTTTATACAAATTAGACAAAAATTCTTTTTATTTTTACCAAAAAATACAAATTTTGAGAATTTCTTTTAATTTTTATTTCAATTTTTTCTTGTATAAAATTTACTATTTCTTTAAATTTTTTATATATGTTTCATTTTTTAAAAAGAACTTTTGTTTTTGCTTCAATTCCTTATTCTTTTGGAGTTCCTAAAATTTAATATTTACTTTTACGTAATGCGCAAAAATTCTTAAAACTTTTCCACAAATTTTCATTTTAATTTTTTTGTCATTTCTAAAACCTTGAAGAAATTTGTGTGAATTTTGATCAAAATTAAAAGAATAACTTTAAATTACATTTTTTAATAAATTTTCCTTCTCAAGGTTTTAGCTCAAAATACGGGACAGTCAGATGACAATGTCGTCGTTATTTCACCGTCTCCTGCTGAAGGACCCTCGACAACTCCACGACTTATCGATAAAGATGATCCAAGATCGCGACTTCACTTTGTAAAATATCTAAAACGCGAAGGAAAGACCGTTAAAATTTGGGAATGTGGAATATGTAAGTTATTTCTAAAAATATTTTATTATTTTGCAAAAAGAAATAAATATTTAAAATATTTACAATCACATAGGAAAGAAAAATTATTAAAGTTATTTTAATATTATTTTAAAAAATAATACCAAATTACAATTTAGTAAAAGAAATTCATTAGTTGAACGGAATAACCCCAAAAAAATAAAAAAAAAAAAACTGATAAATTTTAAACGAATTACAAGAGCATTATGAAACTTTTTGATCAAGTTCTTTGAGATGTATAAGATTAACTTTTTTCAAAAATCTTTAAATTAATTAGTGTTTTTTCTAGGAAAATTTTTTCTAAATCTTTAAATGAATTTTAAGTCTTAACAAATACTACAAAAATTTTCAATTGGTATTAATTTTTAAAACAGTATTAAAATATTTTTTTTAACACTAAATTTTTATTTTTTTTTTTGTTATAAAAGTAAGTTATACATCTCAAACAACTTGATCACAAAATTTCATAACGCATTTGGTAATTCGTTTAAAAGATATTACCATTTTTTTTTTTGAATTTTTTTGGGGTCATTCCGTATAACTGAACTTCTTTTTTACTAAATTGTAATTTAATTGATATAAAAGTGTGTCATTCGTAGCTAAAAACTTAATCACAAAGTTTCATAACGATCCTCTAATTTGATTAAAAGTTATCACCGATTTTTGGATTTTTTTAGGGTCATTCCGTATAAAAAAAAATTATTTTAAGTTAAAATTTGTTGTTAAATAATAATTAATAAAAAATGTTGTGTTTTTTCTTAAAAGTTAGTGAACAATTCTAATTTTTATCCAATATTATAAACAATGGCTCATTTTTCTCTTTGAAAAATTCTGTCAATTTCTGATTTTGTGTTTTTGTTAAATAATAGTTTGTTTAAAAAATGTACAAAAATTTTATTTGATTACTAACATTTAACTCGGGGGTTTTCGGGGTCGCTGATTACGAATCAGATGTCAGTTTTTCAAAATTCAAAATGGCGGATCCAATATGGCGGATATTAAAAAAAAGATTTTTTTATTTATCGGATTCACTTGAAAATCGTTACTCGGGGGTTTTCGGGGTCGCTGATTACGAATCCGATATCAGTTTTTCAAAATTCAAAATGTCGGATCCAATATGGCGGACGACTTTTGAAAAAACTTAATATATTTGTCTGAAAATAATTACTCAGGGGTTTTTGGGGTCGCTGATTACGAATCCGACGTCAGTTTTTTAAAATTCAAAATGACAGATCCAATATGGCGAACAAATTTTAAAAAAACTTATTAATTTAAATTAACCTGTTTATCAAAATTATACGTGCAAAAAATGTTTCATTCCATACTTTTTCTTTTTAGAATTACCAGATTACGAGTTTGAAGCCAGATTTTCAAAATTTGACTATTTTAAAGAAATATCTTAAAAATTGTGGAAGTTTAAAAATTGGACTTTAGATTAGTTTTCAATAATTCAAAAACTTCTGGATTTAAAATTTAATAAAAATCGAACAATTTTTCAAAAATTCGTTTAATAGATTAGATTCGCACATTTTAAATATGAAAAACTGACGTCGGAATCGTTATCAGCGACCCTACAAAGTTACCAAGTAAGTAGTTTCCAGTGATTTTAAATATTTGTCCGCCATATTGGATTCGCCATTTTGAATTTTGAAAAACTGACCTCGGATTCGTAATTAGCGACCCCGAAAACCCCCGAGTAACGATTTTCAAGTGAATCCGATAAATAAAAAAAATCCTTTTTTTTTAATATCCGCCATATTGGATCCGCCATTTTGAATTTTGAAAAACTGATACCAGATTTAAAATCAGCGATCCCAAAAACCCCCGAGTAACAATTTTTAAACGAATTGGATGAATTTTAAAGCTTTTTGTTAAATGTCCGCCATATTGGATCCGCCATTTTGAATTTTTGACAATGGACACCGGATTCGTAATCAGCGACCCAAAAAACTATTAAAGCATGTTGAAATATAAAATTTTCTATACAGGGTAAATTGAACCATTTTGATACCGATTTCTGCAATTTAATTAAACCATATGAGGGTTAAACAAAATATTTTTAATAAAATTCAACAGAATTGTAGATATCAAAAGTTAAATAATTATTAATTAACAACAAATTTTTGCGCAATATAATTTATTTTGAAAATTGTACAACTGAATCTTTCAAAATTTTGATAAAACAAGCCTCGGATTGTAAGTACTTTTTCGATTTTTTTTCAATGAATGCAAATATTTCGACTTTTTTCAACAAAATATATTTTCATCAAAATTTTCTGAAAATGTTATTATTTAAAACACTTATTCAAAACAAATTTTTCTAAAATTCAGTTATTATATAAATCTTTAAAAGAATTATTCAACAATTTAAATTTATGTAAATTTTAATTAAAAATCTCCTAAAATTCAATTGTTTTCAACAATTGTAACTGCAACTATTTTAAAATTTAGAAATTTTTAAATTCTTAACTTAAATTCTTTTTGGAATTAATTATTTCTGATAACTTTAATCAGTCTTCAAAAATTCGATTTATAAACATATTTCTCAATTAAATTTTTTTTTTAAATTCTATTATCTTCTGAACTTTTAAAAAAATCTTCTTCAATTGAAATTTACTACAATTCTTTTTGTATAGCTCCTGAAATTTTAATTATTTCTAAAAAAAACTAAAATATATCTCTTTCAAATTCGATTACTTCCAAATTTTTATCTAAAATTCTTCGCTAAATTAATTATTTCAATCATTTTAATTCAATTTTTCAAAAATTCAAATTTTTTTCATTAAAAATTCTTTAAAATTCAATTACTGTTTAAAATGTTATCAATAATTTTCAGCAATTTAAATTCAGAACAATTTTAATTAATAAAGTAATTGTTTTCAATAATATTTTAATCAATTTCTTTGAAAATTTAATTATTTAAAACATTTGTCAAAATTCTGAATTCGACTAATTTGTACAATGACTTGGAATTTTTTTTTCTTTTAAAGTAACTTTGAATTATTATTTTTATTAAAAATAAAAAATATCGACTTTTTGGATTTTTGTTGTAATGAAAATCGTGTAAAACAATTTTTTTCTCTTTCTAAAGTCAATCCGAGGCATGAATTAAGAAAATTGGAATTCTTTCTTTAACAGAAAAGTAATTTTAAGATTTACTTTAAACAAACTTAATTTAAATAAATTAAAATTTTCAGTTTTTTTTTGAAAAATATGAATAAAATCAAGTTTTATATATATTTTTGATAAATGAAATAGATAAAATAAAAAAAGTATTTGCATTTTTCAAGAAAAAAATTAGTTTAGAAGTAATTATCATTCTGTGTAAAATTAATTTTAAAATAAGTTTAAAAAATAAAAAGCGTTTATTGATTAGATGTAGACAATTCTAATTTTTGTAAAACATTGAAAATTTCATTTAACCCTTAACTGGCACCTCGGGTCCAGTTGACCAGAGCATTTTTACGAACTTAAATTAATTAAATTTGTAGCTTTTTCAAGACTGTGAATATAGTCGCAAGGCCCCCCTCCTTCCTTACGTTGAAGGAGAGGTGGATTTTCCGCCGAAATTGAACTAAATTTTAAGGTTAAGTTATTTTGTCGGGAAACTACCAAGAAACAAACATAACCTCAAAATTTAGGCCAAAATTTGGCGCAAAAAGACAATGGAACAAACATAACCTCAAAATTTAGGTCAAACTTTGAAGGAAAATGACCAAAAAACGAACATAACCTTTAAATGTAGGTCAAATTTTAGCTGGAAAATTTAAAAAATTAGATAAATTTTGTTTTAAAAATTGAAAATAATAAAAATTATTGTTAATAAAAATCGTAAATGACATTTAAAGAAATAAATATATGTTAAATAAATTAAATAAATTTTGGTTAAGGAAAATACAAGGAAAAAAAGAAAAAGTAATTTTTACTACTTTCGGAGTAAAACGAGAACTATCCGAAGTTTCTACGCATCTCTGGCAACTTTTACTCCAAAAATAGTAAAATTTACTCCACAAATAGTAAAAGTTGTTACAGAAACAGTAAAATTTACTACAGAAATAGTCAATTTTACTATTTTTAAATTAAAAGTTTCCAGAGATGCGCAGAAACTTCGGACAATTTCCTCTTTACTCTAAAAGTAATAAAAATTACTTTTTCTTTTTTTCCATGTATACATTTAGATTTTACCCTATTTTTCCAATAAAATTTCCCCTATTCCCCCCCCCTTTTTTTAAAGCAAATTTTATACTGTGAAAACTCTCGTCATTATTGAGTTAGGGAAAAAAATTTTAATTTTTACTATAAATTAATGATTTGATGAGGAAAAAAAATAATAATTGTAGGCACAAAAGAATTTAGACATCAGTATACATTGATGCGACATTTACCAACACATACCGACGAGAGAAACTTCAAATGCGAAGCTTGTGGCAAGGCCTTCCGACAGCTCTCGACTTTGAGTCAGCACAAGGCCATTCACAGTGACGCGAGGCCGTATGTCTGCGAGTTTTGCAAGAAGACCTTCAACAGGTTGGTTCTAACGCTCGCGCTCTCTATATACTCCTCTCTCAAGTACTTTATATCGCGGTGGTGCTTTTAACGGCTCACATTGCAGGGTCTCCACTCTTATCTCTCATCGGAAAACACATTCTGAACACAAACCACACAAGTGTCACATTTGTGGAAAGGGATTTCATCAGAAAGGTATTTTTTTTCATCGTCATCTCAAAACAAATGAGACAAGATGTTATATATTTTCAACCAAGTTTTCATTTTTCCTTTTATCCTTCTTTATAAAATAATAATAATAATAATATTAAAATAAAAAAAAAAAAAACTAGGAAACCTGAGGAACCATGTCTTTACTCACACGAACGAGAGACCCTATAAGTGCGAGATTTGTGCCAAAGGATTTAATCAAATGTCAAATTTGGTGTGCCATAAAGTCAAGGCTCATGCCCACGTGGAAAAAATGCAATATTCCTGTGAAATATGTGAAAAAGAATTTCCCCGACGTTCTTCACTTCGTGCTCATCAGGAAGAAAAGCATGGGATCAAATATCGTGGTTCAAATACAGGTGAATCGAAAAACAACACAGATACTGTCAAACGGTGAGTAGTAAATACTTTCATTGCAACAAAATTTTATTACCAATTTCTATAAATATTCTATAATATGTTTTAAAGTTATAAACGATTTTAGATTTTCTATATTTAGGTTAAATTCCCAAAAAATATACACAAGATTCACCTTCTTTTCACTAAAGAGTAATTTAACTACTGAAAATGTATGTCATTTATAGCTAAGAACTTGAACACAAAGTTTCAAAACGATCCTGTTATTTGTTTGAAAGTTATATACGTTTTTAAAATTTTTTTTGGGGTCATTCCGTATAAGTACTTAATTTTTTTCTACTGAATTGAAATTTAATTGACATAAAAGTTTGTCATTCATAGCTAAGAACATGATTACAAAGTTTCAAAACGATCCTGTTATTTGTTTAAAAGTTATAGACGTTTTTTGGATTTTTTTTGGGGGTCATTCCGTATAACATAATTTTTTTCTACTGAATTGAAATTTAGCTGTCTTAAAAGTTTGTCATTCATATCTAAGAACTTGATCACAAAGTTTTAAAAAGATCCTGTTATTTGTTTAACCCATTAACGACCGCCAGGACGCAAAATTTACCTTCACTTAGCAGCTGTTATTTTATATGAAAAAATATTTTAAAAAATTTAGGATAGCCCATTTCTAACGTAAAATTTATCGCTCTTTTCGATTCTGAAGTCCAAATTTAATTATAATTAAATCCTTAATATTTATAACAATTTCCTTGCAAAAAAACATGATTTTCTGCAAAAAAAATTTTTATTCAAAAAATATTTTGACATGGAAAACGACAGTTAATTTGCTCCGGAACCCAAAATATCGCGTCCTCGAATACCCAGCTACAAAACTATATAGTTGTGAATTTCAAAATTTAAGATGGCGGACGACAAAATGGCGATTTTCCACTAAAAAAAATTTAAAAAATACTATTTTGCAAAAAATTATATATTGATGAATTATTTTTATTTGTGCACCATATAGTTATGTTTTTTGGGTCACTAAACACGAATACGGTATAAGTTTTCAAAAATTCGAAATGGCGGATCCAATATGGCGGACAATTTTTTCAAAAACTCAATGGATTTATATGAAATTTGTTACTCGGGGGTTTTTGGGGTCGCCGGTTACGAATCTGAAGTTACTTTTCAATAATTCAACATGGCGGATCCGAAATAGCCTACAAATTTTAAAATTCACCGAATTTGCTTGAAAATCAATACTTATTGAGTTTTTGGGGTCGTTGATTTCGAATTACAGTAATAAAATAGTAGATCAGTAAAATAAAATGTGTTCGATTTCAATATAAAATGAAGTAATTCGAAATAAACAACCCCAAAAACTCAATAAGTATTGATTTTCAAGCAAATTCGGTGAATTTTAAAATTTGTAGGTTATTTCGAATCCGCCATGTTGAATTATTGAAAAGTAACTTCAGATTCGTAACCGGCGACCCCAAAAACCCCCGAGTAAGAAATTTCAGATAAATCCAGTGAGTTTTTGAAAAAATTGTCCGCCATATTGGATCCGCCATTTTGAATTATTGAAAAGTAACTTCAGATTCGTAACCGGCGACCCCAAAAACCCCCGAGTAACAAATTTCAGATAAATCCATTGAGTTTTTTAAAAAATTGTCGGCCATATTGGATCCGCCATTTTGAATTTTTGAAAACTTATACCGTATTCGTGTTTAGTGACCCAAAAAACATAAGTATATGGTGCACAAATAAAAATAATTCATCAATATATTATTTTTTGCAAAATAGTATTTTAAAAAATTTTTTTAGTGGAAAGTCGCCATTTTGTCGTCCGCCATCTTAAATTTTGAAATTCGCAACTATATAGTTTTGTAGCTGGGTATTCGAGGACGCGATATTTTGGGTTCCGGAGCAAATTAACTGTCGTTTTCCATGTCAAAATATTTTTTGAATAAAAATTTTTTTGCAGAAAATCATGTTTTTTTGCAAGGAAATTGTTATAAATATTAAGGATTTAATTATAATTAAATTTGGACTTCAGAATCGAAAAGAGCGATAAATTTTACTTTAGAAATGGGCTATCCTGAATTTTTTAAAATATTTTTTCATATAAAATAACAGCTGCTAAGTGAAGGTAAATTTTTCGTCCTAGCGGTCGTTAATGGGTTAAAAGTTATTGTCATTTTTTGGATTTTTTTTGTGTCATTCCGTACAACTTAATTTTTTTCTACTGAATTGAAATTTAATTGTCATAAAAGTTTGTCATTCATTGCTAAGAACATGATTACAAAGTTTTATAAAATTCCTCAGGGTCGTTTAGAAGTTATAACCGTTTTTTTGGATTTTTTTGAGGTCATTCCACAAAAATGATACATTTTTCCCTAAATTTTGTATTTTTCTGTCATAAAAGAACGAAAATCATCACAAAGAACATAATTACTAAATTTCATAACAATAGGGTAATTCGTTTAGAAAATGTAATCGATTTTAGAATTTTTTTTTTTTGGGTTATTCCACACAATTTGATACATTTAAACAATACCATTAATTCAAAACATTCAGTTAAGTATTTCAATATTTATGAATATATGTTTAATATTTATATATATAAAAATTGAAATGTATTTCTGAATTTTATTGTTTTTAATTAAAAACTCCTTTAAAAATTAAGAATAATATTTCTTGTTAATAATTTTTATTTGGATTGTTTTACAATAATTAAATTCAATAATTAATTCACATTTTATACTCTTCATTAAAATTTAAATGCTTTAATATGCTCTTTTAATATAAAATTTATTTCTTATTTAATATTTTATGACAAAATTTATAATTCGATTAAAAATTATAGCCTTAGTACACGTTCATTTTATCAGAGAAAAATTCTTTCACGATTAGAAAATTTAATGGAATTTAATTCAATTATTTTGAATGTCAATATTGAAAAATATCTACAAAAAACTTTTTTTTTAAAATAAATATACAACTTATTTTAATGTTAAAATATTTTATAGTTATCCTTGAATCGTAATGATAAGAATTTTCAAAAAAAAAATTTATGCTATAATTCCAGAAATATTTTTTTCCAGAAAAAAAATTCAATTCTTTTATAAAATGTATTTTTTTTTATTTAAAATATTAAAGTCTACAAACGAAAACGTATATAAGTTAAAAGTTACGTGTGATTCTCTGTCAAATTAAATTCTATTTTTCGACAAAAAAAAAAGAAAAAAAAAATAGAAATGCATTTTTGTTTAAATCCCTCGGGGAAAAAAAATTGCACTGTATTTTTATTTACCGTGTAAATAAATCCAGTTTTTTTTTCAGTTTCATACTATTCGACACTTTCGAGAAATATTTTTAAAACATACACACAAATAAAATCAATCTGCATAGTGATTGACGTGAATTAAAAACAAATGCATAAAGTAAAATTCTATGTTTATTTTTTCTTTTTATTTATTGTTTGAGAGTAAATATTTTATTCCTTTATTTATATATAAAGTTGTACAAATAGTTAATACATTTTTAAAATGTAAATTTTCTGTAAAAATCTTTTCAATGTATTTTGAGTTTTTATATAATATTTTCAGTAAAAGTGAGAGAATTGCAAATATGTTAGAAAATGATCAAAATCTTATCAATGGTGTTAAGGAAAAAGATACTATGAATTCGGTAAGTTTTTTTTTTTATTTTTGAATCACATCAATAAATAAAAATATTTTTTTCCCTTTTTTTAGTTAGTAAAATTCAGATTTTAAATAGAACTAATATATGTTTACAAATTTAAAAAAAATAACAACCTAAATATTTTTGCCAAATAATTGGAGGGTTTTTAAAAAAAAAAAAGAAATTTGGAATTTCTTTTAACGATAAAAATTTTTCAAATATTATTTAAAAAATTTGTTAAGTCTGAAATATATTTAACAGATTTTTTTTTCGAAATTTCATTTATTGAAACAATGGCAAAAAATAAAAATTATTGATTTAAAAATATTATTGATTAAAAAAAAAAAAAAAAATTATTGGTTCCTTAATTATATTTTCTATTTTTGAGAAAAATTGTACTTTTTAAACCTCTTTTAACAACAATAGATACAGTGAACAATTGCATTCATTTTTAAAAAAAAAATTTTAATTGACTTTTGTTTGCTAAATTTTTCCTATACAAAATTTAGTTACTTTAAAAACTGTCGATCATTGATTTCAATGTTAATATTAAAAATATCATATTTTTTTTTTAAATTTTTAAAAATTTTTAGAATTTTTAATTTTATTAAAATTTTTATAATGAATCATTTTAAAAATTTTTTAATTATATCATAATTTTTGAATTAAATTCTAAATTTTCTCTCAAGTTCCCAATACAATTAATGCAATTATCATGTGTTTTTTTTTTTTTTTGGTGTTAAAAATTTTTTTAGTCTTCCTTCGTTGATAACATTATGGTGGACAAAATAGATTCAAAAGCAATGGAAACTGCTGTTCTCGAGGGACAAACGCCCTTTGCACTCTTCAAACCTGCGAAAGGAATTCCCGTTCTCGTTCGTATTTCACCCGGCCAGAATTCAAAACATGTAAACATTTTGAAATACTTTAACTTTTCAACAAATAAATATTTTAACCCCCTATAAAAAAAAGACAAAATAAATTCCATTGAATTTTATCAAAATAATTATAAAAAATTTCTCTAGAATTATTTTAGTGAAATAATTGAATAAAACAAAAAAAAAAAAAAAAAAAAAAAAAAGAAAAACTAGAATGTTACAAGAAATAAAAATATTTAAAAAAAATTTAATGACTTTTTTACAGCAAAAAAAAAAAAAATTTTTTTTCTTACATAATAACTATTTATTTATTTGAGAAATGTGTGAAGAAGAAATTATTCATTATATCTTTTTAAATACAAAAAAAAAAACTTTTGAAATAATTAATAATCTGGAAAATTGAATAATTTTTCAGATATTGTCTCATGCAACGGCTGAAGATCTTAGAATGAGTGGAAATGTAGTTGTAAATCATGAAGATGTAAAATCTCTTCAAGTAAAAGTCCCAGTTGTCGCTACAATTACGCAAAAAATTGAAGTAAATGGAAAATTCAGTTATTTAGTGGAATCTTCAAATTCAGATGAGGAGAATGGTATTTGGAAATTTCAATTTTTCTTACTAGTCACTTTCTTTTTTAAACGCATTAATAATATTACAGGGCTCGGATTATACGACATTTTTCGATTTATTTTAATAAAATGCGACTTTTTTGATTTTTCTTTTTTTTTACGTTTTTCACAAAATTTTTTAAACAAAATACATTATTTTTTAGTATACAATGCAGATATTCTTCAGATCTTTTTTATTTCAATTATATAAAAAAAATTTTAACTAAAATTCCTCATTAAATTAATTATTTTTAATAATTTTAATGACAATCTTCACAAATTCAATTATTTTGAACTATTTTTTAATTAAATTTAATAATTGTTAATAATTAAAAAAAAAAAATTTGCAAATAAAATTAGCAAAATTTTTTTTATTCAAAATCACTTCAAAATTTAATTATTTGCAAAAATTTCAATTATTTTTAATGATTTTTATAATACACTTGCTATTAAAAACGATAATAACTATAGAAATAATAATATTGAATTAAATATCACTAATAAATTAATTAAAATACAATATTTAGAAAACTAATCTCAAAAAATTTGCTTTATTGATTACAAATTTTATAAATATGACAAAATTATTAAATAATTATAAATAAAAAAACACTCTTTGAAGTGACACACTTTTTTACTTTTTTGATACTTTTTTTTCGACAAGGCTACTTTTTTAACTACTAATTTTTGGCCAAAAGCCACTAAATGCTACTTTTTTCAAAAAATAATTTTAAAAATCACAGAATTCAAGAATTTTAAATTTTTAGTGAATTTTTTTATTCTCAAAAGCTTGCCAAGTTGGTGATTTATTATTGGCCTCGTGAAATACAGCTTTATATAATTATTTTTTACACGAATTTTCATTTTTCAAAATAGCATTTATTTATTTATTTATTTATTGAGATTTAATTATTTAACATAATTTCTTTTTAAACGACCTTTTATTCAATAGAATTTTTAATTTGGCAAATTTTTTTTTTACAGAATTTTTATTTTACATAATTTATCTTTACCCAACTGTTTTTTTTTAATAATTCTAATTTAACCCAAATTCAGACAATAATTTGAATTTTAGAGTATTTTGAATTGAAAAATGTTTTAAATATTTGAAATGACATTTACAGAATTTTTAATTAAAAAATGTTTTATTTAATTGAATTTTTGAATAATTGGATTGAAATTATTAATTCAGCAAAGAATTTTAGATAAAAATTTTAGAAATAATTGAATTTTGGAAAAGTTCGAGTTTTAATTAAATAAAATTTTGAAAATTTGTCGTACAATTAGTTCGATTCTTAAATAATTCGAAATAAATTTTCTTCATAATATTTTTATAGAATTATTCTCATTACAGAATTAATAAAAATGAATTTAATATCTAATAAAATTAGTTATTTAAAGTAAAATATTTATTAACCAATTAAATTTTGTTAAATTAAAAAAAAATCGACTTTTTCGAATATAAATCGACTAAAACGACTTTTTTTTTCCTTAAAGTCGATTCGAGGCCTGTAATAATAATAGTAATAAAAATAATTTTCGTTTCTTCTTTTCAGTTTCAAGTATATTTTTAAAAATTATTTTACAAATTTAAATTATTTTACAAATTTTAATCATTTATAAAATTATTTTATTTTTATTTCATTTTTTACTTGTTTGCAGTGATTCTTCGCAATTTTTTTTTATTAATATTTACATTGCTTATTCATTTATTTATTTATTTAATAAATATTTTTTTTTTAAATAAGAATTTACCTATTTGCTTAGGTGTTTTTTTCTGTAAATAATTTTTGTTATAATTTTGATTTCTGATATAATTCTTCTTATGCTTAATAAATATAATAAATAAAGTGAAGAATCTTTTTTTTTTATTTTTTTTTAAGTTTATATAAAAACCTAGGGCAAAAGTAATTCCTTAAAAAAAAATAGACAGACGACTTTCGTTGTTGACTTTTTAGTGAAGGATCATCTGAAACAAAAAAAAAAAAGATAAATAAAAACCAAAGAGCTTTAGATTCGGTACAACTATAAAATATCCGAAATTAGAATTTTAAATATTCATGCATAAATAATATAGCCAACTTTTTTTGACAAAAAAAAGTTGTACATTTTTTTTTTTTTTTAATTTTTACTAAATACTTTTTATAATTTTAATTTTGCTTCCTTATAGAAATGAAAATTTTCGAATTTAATACTGTAAATTTCCTCGACATGTTTTTAGAAAAATTTAAATTCTTTAAAAAGTCAATAATTTCGTAATATTGGAGAGTAAAAAGTTTGTAAATAAAGGTCAATAAGTCTATCTGAATGGGGATTGAATAAAAAAAAAAATAAAAAACAATAAATTTCAATAGTTTCGACTCTGCTGAATCCAAAAATAATAATTATAAACAGTTGTGAATATTGGAAAAAGAATTGAAAAGTCTGTCTAAGGTCAAAATGATTATTGTGTTGAATAATTTGATAATAATTTTTTTAAAAACATATTTACTTCTTAAATTAAAAAAAAAACATTGGAATTTGTCAAAGATTGAAATTCGAAAATTTTCATGAAAACAAAAAGTTTTTTTATTTCGAAGTAATAATTGAAGAGCTCTACCGAATAACGATCTAACAATTTGAAAAGTTTGGTTATGAGCTTTTCAAAAATGTAAATTTTCATTAAATTGATAACAACTGTATGAGAATTATTATTACTAATAGTATATATTAGTAATAGTTACCAACTGTGTGATAAATAATAATTTAATGAAAATTTACGTTTCTTGAAAGCTTTCCCATTGTGCTATAGATCTTTATTCCGTGGAGCTCTTCAATTATTATTATTATTTTGTTTTTTTATTTCTAATTATAAATATAAATTGATATTGCGTAATTTTTGATTCCCGATCATTTCCCCGAAGTCGATTCTCCGAAAAAATATTTTAATACATATTCTCTGTAAAAAAAAAAAAAAAATATGAACGTTTTTTTTTTTTATTATCTAAATTCATTAATCAATTGACTGAAATGTAAAGATATTTGTCAAACAATAAATTAATTTTTCTTTAAGCAAATAATTTTTTTTTTCTATTTTTTTTTACATTCGGGGAAATAATTTCGGGCGAATGTCCATTTTATAGATTCGGAGAGAAGATAATTCATTGGGGGTAATGATCGGGAATATAGTTATTTTTTGTTCTTTAATCTAAAAGTATATTCTGCCTTATTATGTTAGATAACTACGGATACATTAGAGTCCTAAAAACACCTTTTACCAATTCCACGACATTATTCCCGTCCATTTGTCCTTTCTTATCCTCTTCAGAGAATCTCATCACTCCTCTCGACTCAAACTTTTACCCGGAAAAACGCAGCGATCATTCGGATCAATCATCACCAGAAGATTGCAATGAACTTCTCGAATTGGCAGCCCAGGGTGGAATTCAATTTGTTCGTGCCACTGAAGATGGTCGTTATGAAGTAATGTCCAATAGTGAGGCACGTGAGCTCATGGCACAAAATTCACACGACGTAACAATTCTCGATGGCGAAGAAGCGGAAGCAATTAATATTGTCAATTTACGTAATAACGAAACGGATGTCAAGGACAATGATCATGTCAATGATGACGATGACGATGATGATGATGATGATAATGATGATGATGATGATGAAAATGAGAATGATCAACATGATGCAATGGACATTGAATCAATGAAACCAGAGAAGGAAGAATTGTCAAATAATATTGAACTATTAAATGACAAGGAAATTCGTATTCTTGAAAATAGAGAATTAGATGATCGATATGAGGATGAAATTTCTTTTCTTCCTTCAACAAAAATTGATGATTTAATTCTTGACACTAAATTTGATGATGAAAATCTTGCTGACGATTGTGATGATCATGGTGAATGTTTTAAAGGAAATCGAAATTTTTATAAGGAACTGACAATACTATTTGCTTTAATTTCAGGCATATCATACAGCATTTCCCCTATTTTTTTTCTCTATTTTAAAAAATTCCCCATTTTTTTCACTAAATTTCCTCTATTTTATGTTGAAACTCAAATATAATGGGATATTTCATAAAAATCCAAATTTGAACCAAAAAAAAAATTACAAGCCTCGGATTACACGATTTTTTCGAGTTTTTTTTTTCAATGAATACGACTATTTTGACTTATTTTTTTTTTTTATAAAATGTGGATTTTTTCAACAAAATATTCTTTTCTGAAAATTTTATCATTTAAAACACTTTCTCAATGGAAATTTTTCTAAAATTCAGTTATTTTTTGAATCTTATAAAAAAAAAATTGTTCAACAATTCCGGCCTTGGATTATACGACTTTTTCCGACTTTTCTACGTAAATACGACTTATTTTGATTTATTTTAATAAGATGCTACTTTTTTGACTTTTTTAAAACCTTTTTTTAACAAAAATTCTTCTCTAAATTAAATTTTTTTAAAAATAATTTTAATGAAATTCTTTACGAATTCAATTATTTTAAACTATTTTTTCAATTAAAAATTTGATGAAATTCAATAATTGTCTAAATTAAAAAATATTATAAAATAAAGTACTAAAAATTGTAATTCAAAATCACTTAAAATTCAACTATTTTCAAAAATTTCAATTTAAAACCATCTAAAATTTAATTATTTCTTTAATTTTCCATCTAAAACTTTCTAAAAAAAAAATTATTGTAATTATAATTCTTCTGAAATTCAATACTTTTAATGATATTTATAATATTCTTCTGTAAAATTTAATTATTGTCGATAAAATTTAACAAATAAATTAACTTTTCAAAAATTTAATTATTTTTAATAATTTTAATATTTATTTAAAAATTCAATTATTTAAAAAAGTTTCAAACAAAAACTCTAAAATTGAATTATCGCAGAAATAAAAAAAACTACAGCAGTTTAAATTTGCAGAAAATTTATTTAAAATTTAAAATTTTCTGCAATGTAATTATTTGAAAAAAAAATTAATTTAAAAATCTATAAAACTTAATTATTGTTCGACAATTTTTTCATCATTAAAACTAAAATTTATGCAAAAATTTTAAATAATTGGAATAAATTGCTTAAATTAGACTTCAAAAAATTTTTAAAATGGATCTTTAAGAATTTTTTTTACAAATTTGTCCTACTTAATTAAAATTTTGAAAATTTATTCCAAATAAATTTTCTTAATTATATTTTTATAGAATTATTCTCATTACAGAATTAATAAAAATGAATGTAATATCCAATAACATTTGTTATTTAAATTAAAGTATTTATTAACCAATTAAATTTAATTAAAATAAAAATAATCGACTTTTTTTGTGACTTAAAGTCAATCCGAGGTCTGAGCAAATTTAAATTTACGAAAATTTTGATTAAAAATCACCTGAAATTCAATTGTTTTCGACAATTGCAACTATTTTAAAATTTAATAATTTTTCAATTTTTTTAACTTAAATTCATTGTTGAATTAATTATTTCCGATAACTTTAATCAAAGTCTTCAAAGTTTCCATTAATTAACACATTTCTCAATTAAAATTTATTTTCAATTTAATTATCTTCTGAACTTTGTAAAAAAAAACTTCCTTAATTCAAATTTACTATAAATTCTTTTTGTATATCTCTTGAAATTTTAATTATTTCTGAAAAACTTAAATATATCTCTTCCATATTCGATTACTTCCAAAATTTGTATCTAAAAATTTTTGCTAAATTAATTATTTCAATTATTTTAACTCAATTTTTCAAAAATTCAAATTTTTTTTTATTAAAAAGTCTTTAAAATTCAATAACTGTTTAAAATTTTGTCAATAATTTTCAGCAATTCAAATTTACAACAATTTCAATTGATAAATTAATTTTTTTCAATAATATTTTAATCAATTTCATTGAAAATTAAATTATTTAAAACATTTGCCAAAATTTTGAATTCGAATAATTTGTACAATGACTTGGAATTTTTTCTTCTTTTAAAGTAACTTTAAATTATTATTTTTCAAAATTTGTCCTAATGAATTGTAATCTTAAAAATTTGTCACAGTTTAATTCTGAAGTTTAAAAAAAAAAGTTGATGGAAATGTTCCTGTGAAACATTCTTATTATAGAATTAGAAAAAATTTATTTAATTTCTAATAATTAATGTTAATAATAATGAAATAATTTATTAATTAATAAAATTTATTAAAATTAAATAATATCGACTTTTTGAATTCTTGTTATAATGATAATATAGACTTCTTTCTCTTTCTAATTTAAAACAACTTTAAAGCATTTTGGTTAAGGAAAATATACATTTCGATTTTAGCCTATTTTTACCCTTTAGGCCTTTATTCAAATAAAATTTCCCCGATTGCCCCCCTTTTTTTTTATCAAATTTTATGCTGTGAAGCCTGTAATTTCAATTGGAATCGATTTTTTCTCTAAATTTGTGTTCAAAGTTTTACATTTATGTTGATGAGTCGAAAAAATTTAGGTTTTAGTCACCACTTTCAAAATCTTAATTCTGAATAATTTAAAAGGATGAGCGCAAATTTAGAGGAAAAAAACGAATTTTCAGAAAAAAAATGAATTAAAGACATTTAGTTTTCTAGACAATGTTTTTACAATTACAATATTATTCCTTATAAAAGAAACGTATTTCTTTGATTTTGTCTTTTATTTTACCAAAATTTCTCTTATATTTCAATTTTTCTAAATAAAAATTTAATTTTCACCCTCTGTCTACTTAAATCTTTCAAACTTTTATTATTATTATTATTATTATTTTTTTTTTTTTGAAACAATAATTGATATACTTTTCAAAAAACAAGAAGTAGACAAAGGGTTCGTAGACTTTTTCATCATCCATTTTAAATTAAAAAAAAAAAAAATAAAAAATAATCCATTATTATCTCCTAGGCATAGGAATTGGATCTGGTCGTCAAGATTTTTCGAATCTTTTACATCATCGCCAGGAGATTCCTACAATTACAACATCCTCTCATTTATCCATTTCTTCCATGTTGAATAAGACCTATCATCCATCAATTTCCAATGATAATTCGCAATTTTTAAAAAATTCCAACAATTGTGATGAATTTGATATTATTAATATGTCACCAACTGAGAATCATCATCCAATTCAAGATTATTCAAAATTACAAGTACCCGGCTATGATGATTATGAATCAGTTGCTAATTTATCAACAATTCAACCGGATTTCAATTTTCTTGGATCAAGATATTCGAATATGAATCATAATTCACGATCAAACAATCAAATGTTTTACAATTCTCTTGGTGATGTTAAAATTCATGGTTCAAAGAATCCAACGCCTGAAATGATTATGCAATATCAAGATATTAAATTGTTTAATAATTTTGGAATTTATCTTGATTCACATGATGATAAAATGGATATTAAGACATTAGGAAAGAAAATGGATTCAGGAATTTTTGCCAATTTGGATAATGGACTAAGGAAATCTGTAAGTTTATTTAAATGATTTATTAATAATTAGAAGAATTTTTTTTTTTTTTTTTGCTGTTCAAAATTATTTAGCAAATTTTGTATTTTATTTTATCTAGTTAATTTTAAACATCAGATATTTGAAAAACCTCTGAATATCTTCTAAGAAATTAATTTATATTTATCGCATTTATGATTGACAAATAAAGAGGAGAAATAAATTTTTTAGAACGAACTAAAAAATTAAATTAATAGTAAATTTTAAGTTTTAGTATCAGAGAATTATTTAATGATTCTAAAAGATTTAAAGAGGTAACCGAAAGATATGGGAGGTAGTCGATAAATTTGATATGTGATCATTAAAATTTAATCGACAGTCCAAGATTACACTCAGGTTATGTGTAGAAAGAAAAACCCTCTCCAAGATAACATCATTTATTACATAATTACTAATCAAGTACTTTAAACATTAATTTAGAAATAAATCTTTAACTATAATTCAATATCATAAAAATTGAAAAAAATAACTCTTCTAGAAATTCTACGATTTTGTCTTAATCCTTTAGGGTACAAATTAATAATCGCAATACCATCCTTTAGCCATATATCATTTTTACATTTTTAAGGTCGCTGATTACGAATTTGGTGCCAGATTTTAAAAATTCAAAATGGCGGATCCAATATGGCAAACGACTTTTTGAAAATAAAATGCAATTCGCTTAAAACTTCTTACTCGTGGGTTTTCGGGGTCACTGATTACGAATCCGATGTTAGTTTTTAAAAATTCAAAATGGCGAATCCAATATGACGGACCACTTTTAGGAAATAAAATGCTATTCGCTTGAAATTTGTTACTCGGGGGTTTTATTGGATCGCTGATTACAAATCAGATGTTACTTTTTCAAAATTCAAAATGGCAGATCCAATATGGCGGATATATTTTTTTAAATTTCACGGTTTTGCTTGAAACTCGTTATTCAAGGGTATTCAAGGTCGCTGATTACAAATCTGATATAAGTAAATTAAATTGATTTTTAATTTTCCTGTCCCCCATATTGGATCCGATATTTTAAATTTTGAAAAACTAAATTAATTATTTTTAATAATTTTAATGAAATTCGTCACAAATTCAATTATTTCAAATTATTTTTCAATTAAAAAATTTTATGAAATTTAACAATTGTTTAAAATTAAAAATAAAAATCAAATAAAATTACCAAAAATTTTTAATTCAAAATTAACTAAAATTCAATTATTTTCAAAATTTTTAATTGAAGATCAAAGAAAATTCAGTTATTTTCAAAATTTTCAATTCAAAATCTTTTAAAATTCAATTATTTTCAAAATTTTCAATACAAAATCAACTAAATTTCAATTATTTTCAAAAATTTTAATTCAAAATTAACTAAAATTCAATTATTTTCAAAAATTTCAATTCAAAATCAAAGAAAATTCAGTTATTTTCAAAATTTTCAATTCAAAATCTTTTAAAATTTAATTATTTTCATAATTTTCAATTCAAAATCAACTGAATTTCAATTATTTTCAAAAATTTCAATTCAAAATTAACTAAAATTCAATTATTTTCAAAATTTTCAATTCAAAATCAAAGAAAATTCAGTTATTTTACAAATTTTCAATTTAAAATCAACTAAAATTCAATTATTATCCAAAATTTCAATTAAAATTTAATTATATTCAAAAATTTGAATTTAAAAGCTTCTAAAATTTAATTATTTCTAAAATTTTCCATTAACAATTTTTTAAAATTTAATAATTTCAATTATAACTCTTTCGAAATTCAATTATTTTTTAAAACTATTTTTATAATATTCTTCGAAAATTCAACTATTTTAAATCCATTTTTCAATTAAAAATAGTTTTCAAATTATTGTATTTTTGTCCGCAATTTCTAATTAATTTTTTTTTTGTGAAATCATCAAAAAAAAATTTAATTAAAAATCACTTCAAGTTCAATTAATTTCAAGAATCTCAATTGTATAAATCTTTGAAAATTCAGTTACTTTTAAAAAATGTTATCTAAAATTATTAAATAAATTTATTTTTAGTTCTGTAAAATTTAATTATATTGTCTGAAAATTAACTTTTGAAATTCAGTTATTTGTTAAAATTTCAACTTTAACCCTTTTTAAAAATTATTATTATTTAAAAATCTAAAATTTTTTTGTTAAAATAAAAATAATCGACTTTTTTTTGGAATATAAATCGACTTTTTTTGTGCCTTTAAATCGATCCGAGGCCTGTAATAAAACTTTGAATCGTTGTGTATTTTTACCTTGTCAATTACAAAAAATATAATTAAGGCCAGGTCCAAGTGAGGCAGCGCCATCTACATTGATACTAAAATTTTGGAAAATTTTCAACAGCCTTTTCTTGAAAACAAGATGGTAAAATGCTTTTTCCTTTATGGATAATTGATTATTGGCAAGATATACACCAGCTAAAACTTTTTTTGAGTTAAAATAATAAAAAAAATTTCATGTCAATAAATTAAATATGAGCACTTTTTTCACAAAAACTGTAACAGTACTTTCTCAGAAATTACAATCAAAAATGCAATTTCCATTAGGAAAATTAATAAACGCTAAAAAATACACGACCTAAGATTTACCAATCACGAAAATAAGAAAAAAAAATTTTATTAAATATTTAACATATTGATACTGCTTTACTGATTGTGACAGCCCTTTGGTAGATTATGTATTTCAGGTGGTTAGCAACAGCGCCAATCTCCTCCTTTCGGCAAAACTGCGAAACGTCTGGTGACATATATAACCTGCCAAACGGCTGTCATAATGAGTAAAATATGTTATGTTAAAATACTTTTTTTTTATTATTTTCGTGATTGGTAAATCTTAGGTCGTGTATTTTTTAGCGTTTATTAATTTTCCAAATGGAAATTGCATTTTTGATTGTAATTTCTGAGAAAGTACTGTTACAGTTTTTGTGAAAAAAGTGCTCATATTTAATTTATTGACATGAAATTTTTTTTATTATTTTAACTCAAAAAAAGTTTTAGCTGGTGTATGTCTTGCCAATAATCAATTATCCATAAAGGAAAAAGCATTTTACCTTCTTGTTTTTAAGAAAAGGCTGTTGAAAATTTTCCAAAAGTTTAGTTTCAATGTAGATGGCGCTGCCTCACTTGGACCTGGCCTCAACAACATTCATTTTTGAAGAAATTAAATTTTTATTTTTTAAATTCTACATTATTTGACATCTTGATAATTTGACATTTTTATTAATAAATTTTTTAAAAATTGTTCCTCTCTTTATTGCTTTTAGTATTGTACAAACAATGCTAAAAAAAAAAATTTAATTTAATCGGTACAAAAATAAAGTCTCAGGGACTATTTTTGAATAGTAAATTTCATTTTCCTTCCGCTGTGCATTGTGAAGACAGAAAATCTCACCTAGTTTTAGGTTTTTTTTTTTTCAAGAAGCGAATTGAAAAATGATATAAGATATATAATTAATTCAAACACAATTTTTTTTTTACATAAAGTTAAAATATTGCTCCATTAAAATGTTAAAAATAAATACAAAGAGGAAATATTAAATAAATGTAAAAGTCGATTCTAAGAGCCTCAGGAGATGTCATTTGATATAATATATTTAAAAGAGTCAAGAGTATAACAGAAAAAAAAAATACATTCCTATAGTGGAATTCAAAAACCTATATAATTTTCAACTCTTGAAAGTTCATATTTGCAGAAACTCTAAAAGGAAGTTGCTTTATATTCCCTAACTATTTTAACGCGAAGAACAAGCCAACTTTGAGTATCTTTTTTATGAGATGAAACTTGTACTGTTTTTTTCGACTTTTCACTCTGTTATCCGAGGTGGAAGAGAAAAGACGATTTTCACATCTCTCTACCACTCGGTGTATTTCACAGAGTGGAAGAGAGAGAGAGAGAGAGAGAAAGAGAGTAAGAGAGCGAGTGCAAGGAGAGCAGGAGGTTAATTTTCGAAAGCTCTGCTTCCTAGTCCGGCTTTTAGCGACCCATTATTTCATTCTACCTTTTTTCCAGATATCCGAGGTACAGGCGCCTTCTCGTTTTGGCTGACCAAAGACCTTTCTTGCCTGGAGAACTCCAGAACTATGTTTTTACTCCTGACGAAGCTTTCTGTAACGTCGCTTTTGACTTGGGATCAAGCGTAAATCCGATTTCAGGTTGGTTACAAAAAAGAATCCAATTTCAACTCGCATTATATATATATATAGATATATATATATACTTTTCTAACACACTGAATTCATTATTAATTCAAAATAAGTACATTTAGATTTTTTTTTCTCTTTTTGCAATAATGGAGATTTTTTTATCTCAATAAAATTTATAAAGTTTTTTTTTTTACATTTTTAACTTTTATTTAATTTAGTTTTACACTATTCAATGCAATTAAAAAAAAAAGAATGGGTTAAATCAAATTAAATTTAATAGATTTTTAAAAATTCACGTTCCTATTGTATGGAGTTAATTTTAAATTAATTGACATTTAGGCCATATTATTGTTAAACTATATTTATAACAATTCCACTAAATGTTATATCAATTCAAATAATATACCAAAACACATACAAATATGTTTATTAAAACAACTGCGAGATTTTTTATGTAAATTTAAAATAAAATATTTAATAATTTATTTAAAACAAATGTTTAACAAAATTTCGATCTATACTGTTATACATAATATATATATATATATATTGAAAAAATGTTTCTGAAATCAACAGCAAACAAAAATGATGGTCTTTTGGACAGTATTATTTTTATTATAATATAAATAATAAATATTGTTATTATATATAAATATAAAATATTAAATTGTTTAATAAATCAAGAAATTAATAATGGTAAATGTCTATTTATTTATGTAATTTGGCAAATTTTCCTGTATAGGGTCAGTTGGGGTAAATGGGGACAAAATCTCTATTTTTGAAAAATTACGTAAGTTTCTTCCTTTAAAAAATAATATTTGTGGGTTTTTTTTTGTAAAGTTGTTATTTACATTCCCAGGATTAATTTTATGCAGCAGAAAAAAATTTAGATAAGCTTTAAATGCATGAAACTGACTGTCCCCATTTACCCCAAAATTTAGAAAATTTCCTAAAATTTGGGGTAAATGGGAACAGCATAGTTTCAAAACAGGCTACAGCTTTTATTTATTGACAGATTTTCAATTTTTTTTAAAATTACTAAGGATAAAATTATTAACATTTCAGTCTTCGTGGATTTTTTTTTATTTAAATTGTTAATAATTAAATATTTAAACAAACTTATAAAAAAGCAAAATTACTAAGAATTAATTATTTATATTTTTGTGGAAATATTCTACAATAACCTAAAAATGAACAAACCTAGTACCAAAAACCATAAAAAATGTAAAAAATTGTTACTCAATTTTAATTGTTGTAAATTTTTATAAGTTATAAAAAAATGAATATTTAGTTACAAACTACAAAAATAATTAATAAAAATTCAATAAACTAAATTTTTAATTACTACTAGTAGCTAATATATACATATTATATATGATTATTCATTAGTTTATAATAGTTTAAACAATTTTTTATTGTTTTGTTTATTATTAATTAATTTTTTACAGCATACATTTTTAAAAAAGATTGATATACAACGACAAACATTATAATAGGGGTTTTTGGAGTCGCTGATTACGAATCTGAAATCTGATTTTCAAAATCCAAAATGGCGGGTCCAATATGGCGGACGAATTTTTAAAAATTGCTTCGATTCGCTTGAAACAAGTTACTCGGGGGTTTTTGTAGTCGCTGATTACGAATTTGAAATCCGTTTTTCAAAATTAAAAATGGCGGATCCAATATGTCGGACAAAAAGTTTAAAAAATTAACGGATTCTAATGAAACTTAGTACTAGAGGGTTTTTTGGGTCGTTGATTACGAATTTGAGATCAGTTTTCAAAAATTTTAAATAGTGGATCCAATATGGCGGACAGTGAGTTTAAAAAATTAATGTTCACTTATAAAATAATTATTCGAAACAAATTTGATATATTAAATCAAATCTATTTCAGTTGTTAAAATTTATTTTCGGAATAGTAAATAATGACCCTGAACATTTTTAAAATTAAACTCTTATAAAAATTAATGAAAATTGTCCACTATTTTAAGTATTCGAAAATTACATGAAATTTTCATCAACTCATTTCAAACATCTTAACTTATGATGGATCCGACATTTTTAACTTTTAAAAACTGACCTCAGATTCATAATCAGCGACCCCAAAAACCCCCTAGTAACAAGATTCATTAGAATCCGTTAATTTCTAAAACTTTCTGTCCGCCATATTGGATCCGCCATTTTGAATTTTCAAAAACTGACCTCAGATTCGTATTCAGCGACCACAAAAACAAAAAAATTATAAATTAGTAATGTAGGTTTATATTTTACACATAGTAAACTAATTTTTAAAGTAAAAAAAAAAATTTATAAAAAAAGTTTTTTTTTACACGAGTTTTCCCCCTTAAATGAAATGACGCATATAACGGTTGTAAAAATCGAATTTAGGCCAATTAAGTACTAGGAAATTTTAATTTTGAAGTAAATACACGTACTCTTAATTCAAGTTAATTGTTTTCTTATTTAAAAAAATATTACTTAATTTTATTGTATCAATTGTGACGTTATTTTTTGTGATTGACGTCACAATTGCACCACTCGCAACTAAACTTTTGAATCATTCTATTTTTGAGTTTCGCTATAAATAAAAATTTAATGTTTTCCGCATTTAAGAATTTCCTATACTTGACACAAGTTCAGTTGAAAAACTGGCGCTCTATTTTTAAGGAATTCTGCATTAAGTTTAAGTTAGTTTTAGGTTGGTAGGCTTTGTCGAATTTCCGGTATGACAGGTTCCAATATTCAAGTTATCGCGGTCTTGGGTATTGGAAAAGTCACTTAGTAGTATTAGTAACTCAGAATTCTGGGAGAAGTAAGGTAGGAAAAGGTTTTTAATTGGTTTAAATTAAAGAAAATCGTTGCGTCATCTAGTGTCAATTTAGAGTGAATTGAGAATTTTAGTTTTAAAACTCTCTCTTGCCATCCAACCCCCATCGAGTCAACATGTTTAATTTTCAATAGTCTTTCGATCATGTGTTTCAAGTTACAGTCATATTAATAAATTTAAATTAACTCTAATAAAACATTATTAAAGTTTAACAACAATAAGTTCAATTTACTTCAAACTATTTGCAATAACTCGTTTTTCTACCATGGGTCCAACCAGCATCACGGAACATAACTGTAAGTTAAATTTCTATATAATTGTTTTGTAAGAATCTTCATTATTCAACTTAAAAATTGTTATTACCATTGCTATTAAAATAATAAATAAAGTTTCGTAAGAGCGGTTTAAATTGTCATAAGGAAGTTACTCAATGTTAATGATTTATTTAATAAAATGTAACATTTCTTTTATTTATAATTTTTGTTTATGAATTATTTAATGTTCTCATGAACTCTCTTATTATAAAAACCCATCCCTCTCTCCACGACCTGCAAAACTGAATAGCACCGGCATGTGCAGAAGACTTAATTAATCATTCTTATTGGTCGATCTTAATTAATATTTTATTAGTTATAAGTTGAGATTTGGATTATAGTTTAGTCCGGTTGACAATACCGGCGATACAAAAGTTTTCTGGCGCCCTTCCATACCGGTGATCGTCCATAATAATAAAAGGTTAAGTCGCACAGTAACGTTTTGCTTATTTTGTTATTTGATTTTTTTAAGATTTAAAGTAACATAAATTAAGTTTCAGAATCGAGTCACTTTGCATTAAAGTTTAAATCCAATTTCGTCCAAGTTTAGTAATTTTGATAATTAGAATTATTTGTCGTTTGTTATAATAAAATTTAAAAATCAAGTTTAAAAGTAATTTTAGAGTCAAGAAAAAATACGTTACACAACATATATATATTTACCATTCAAAATATAGACATTTGTATTAGATCAAACATATCTTTATATTGAAACGCGATCTAAAAACATCAAGTTTTAGTTTTAGAAGAAGAGTTTTGTAAACCTTTGATAAACTATTTTTCTTCCTGTAGCAGTCGTTCATCTAACGACCACTGACTTTTACCTTTGGAAAATTGATTTCGTGCACGAACTTCGAGTGAAAAATAACATGAGACTTGATCGATCAGTCTAGTTTGCCAAGTTTTAACGCTATTTTTGAAACTTCTACATTGATAAATACTGTCAGATGACAGTTCTGATGAACTATATATATATAAAAAAAACTAAAACTTTTGATATGTTGTAGGGTTAAATTATTATTTTTAGTTTAGCTATATATGGAATTTATCGTTTTACTTTAAATGATATCATCATAATTTATAAACTTTGTGGCGACCCAGGAAAATGAAATAGGATGATACTGCCGCCAGGAAATTCATTAATAAAGCTTTGTTCATCAGCACTAATAGAAATCGAGTGAGATGAGGTCATCAGGTACCCTTCAGATATTCTCGAATAGGTCGTTTCCCAGAATTAATAGCGTCATTCTCGATAATGGTTAAATTGATTTTACGACAGCTAATGCATTTATAAATATTTCCGTCGACCACCAGTTGCAACTTTTTTATAATCAAATTTATAAAGAAAAAATAGTTAATTTTTTTTTTTGGTTTTCTATTTTTAATTTTCTCATATATTGAAAATTCTTTTATAATTAAATAATTATTTTAGTAAATATACTTGTTTTGATAACAATTTTATATCATACATGGTTTATGAATTTTGTAGAAATAATTTAAAATCTGGAAAATGAATTTAAAAAATTATAAAATGTGAATAAATAGAGTCTAAATACTTTTCTTGGAAGCTCTTGAATATTATATTTCAGTTTTCCTCTTTTTCCCTCGATGTAGCACCACCTGTGCACTTGCTATAACATTTCAGATCTTTACAATAAAGTATAAGGAATATCTACTAGTGGCAGCTTTCTTTCCACTAGAATTGTTACACTAGAAAAAAATTCTCTTGACTCTATTATAGATTTTTCTAAAATTGCACATTTTCATGTTTTTCTTTCTTATTACCTAACATATAGCTAAGGATACGTTTGCTATTAATTCTTGAAGATTCAGAGTAGTCGAAATGTTACTTCTAAAATTCTTAGCAAGTTTCAGTTAAGTTTTTAAGTCTTGCGTTAAATATTTGTGAATACTTTCGCCATCTTAAAGTTTAATTTACAGCTCTACAACTATTTTTTCCTCAAAGGGTCTCTTAAATAATAAAAATCAAATGCAAACTTTGGCTAATTATATTATAAAATAGATTTAAGAAGTGTCATGTTGTTTTGGGCCTTTCCACAATACTGTTTGCTTTTTTTATCAGTATATTGTTATAAACTCACTAATTCGCAAGAATCCGGAAATCGGCAGAACATACCTGTTGGGTTTTAATGACCGACTTTTGGCAATTTGGTTCAAGTTACAATTTAATCAAAGTATTATAATTATATATAATTCTAAATAAACTTAAAATTAAAAAAAACTTAAAATATACTTAAATTTAAAATTAATTTTCTCTTAAAGAAAGATTTACATTTT